GAATGAAGTAGAGAAAATCAATTGCTTATTTATGAGGGTAATGTTAAAAGCATATAACTTGAAAAGCATGAGTGAAATAAAAATAAGCAACTTGATGATTATTGAAATTGTTCTTACTAAACTTGAAAGTAATGGTAAAATCCTGCTTTTGCATTTACTCAGTCAATCGAAGTTCACTTCTGTTTGTGATGACATTTTTTAAAGCATATTGACAAGAACAAAAGAAAAATTGATCAAACATGATTTAATGTGTACCTCTCAGCTTTACATGTCTTGCGGAACCGACATGACAAACATGGAAACGCTAATTACGGAAATAATTAGCACCGGAACAATAAGCATGCAACAAAATTAAGGTAAGTATGAAGTCTATTGAAAGACTAATAAGTGTATATATTGAGGGTGTGAGTGTGGGTTTCTTTTTTCTTTATTTAATCTCACACCTACACTCTTAACTTAAAAGTTTACTAATCTTTCAGTAGACTTCATATTTACCGTAATTTTCTTTTTGCGTGTTTAGTTTGTCGGTGTTCAACGTTCTCGTACTGAACTTTCTGCGCGCTCACTGTTCACCAGTCCATATCTTGAAACTTTTGATAAATAGTACAATGGATGATTACTAGAATTTTTTTTTTATAAAATAGTTCTTGTCAATGTTGCTAAACGAAACAACTAACTTCAAAAATAACGGATTAGATTTCATAAAAAAGTATTCAATGAAAATCAGAGGTTAAGATATTATGTTTTCTTATGCATCTGAAATTATTTATCCAAAAGGTTAGCCACATAAGAGGAGTTTTTTGTGATTCGTTCAGAAAATGACAATCTTCTTTAAGCTAGTTCGATTGGACTAACTATTCTGTTTTGAGATGTTTCCTTTTTTTTTATGATAAGAGAAATATGTAAAGGTTCAAAACCCACTTCTGGAGAACATTTTCACGTATCGATGATAGAAAGCTGAACTCGGTCGCACAAAGTTAAATGGGATTGCTAGTAGCCTTGATGAGTTTCTATGAAAAACCAGAGTTTACTCGACAAACTACGAAGAACTTGTTTAAGATTTTTTCCTCGAACATCTGCTCCATTACTTGAGGTGCTTTATCTGCTTTACAAATTTCAGGCGAATCGATTGTACCTTCTCGAGAAAAATAAATGGCCAAAAAAGAACGTAGTAACTTTAAGTAGATTTGTCTTAAATAAACCTTGTATTTATTTCCTCTGGTAATTTACACGCTCTTCGTGTGCAATTTATACTGTTATTCATCAATATTGATTGAAGCGAATATTTTTGAACATGCAAAATAAATGTTTCAAAACGTACTATATCTGCGGAAAAAAAATGCCAGATATCAAGTACAATAGGCCTATGAAAACTTTTACCCATGTAGAATTCAAAGAAAAAAAAAATACTAAAAGTAATGTCATGGAATTTTGCTTAAAAAATGATCGTACACAATACGAAAAAATGAATAGAAATTATAATACTTTGCTGAAATAGCTTGTAGCGCTGATGACGTTGGATGCGTTCGAAGCGAGAAACCTGTTCAGACTGTGTCTTATCGATGGAATGAGGAGGGACAAAGTGTTTTCCCATGCATAACTTGACATCAGGAGCACCAAATGGCGGATACGATAAGTGCATATGATTGCATGTATTCGATGGAAGATATTTCGTCATAATCAACGTATAATTATCTACAGTTATAAACGCAATCAGATACAAAGAAAAAAACAAAAGCATTCGCCTTTAAAAACGTTTTGAAAAAAATATAATAAACGCATGTCAACGTGTGTAAAGTCTATTTCAAAATGAGTTGCATATAAACACCATTATTTGCAACAACAACGAGCATAGAAGCATCTCAAATGCGTTTCATGATTACATGGGTCTTCGTTCGTTCAAACACATTTATAAAATGGAGTAGGAAAAAAATAAAAAAACTATTTCTACTTCAACTTTAACTTTGAATTTCATGTTAAAGTTAAAGTAAACATTTTAACTTTATCTTTTAAATTGAAAGTATTTTTAAAATTAATATGCTCCATTTAATATGTACGATGCACAAGAATAGAATTCACATCATCAAGTTTTCATCAAAATCAATTACTTTCAAATGGTTTAATCGTTTTTATATGAAGTTTTTATTAGTTTTTCTATTAAATTCACAGTTTTGTTTGTTTTTTGATGAGATCGATTGATACTTAAGAAAAAGGGGGGTAATAAGAGAGTTTTAGAAATGGATTTCAATTAAATGCACAGACAATTGTGATTATTTATGTAAATAAATGATGTTCGTTTTGCAACTTTGAGTTGCATTTTACAGACAGAAAAAGGGATGCAACTGAATTTAAATACAACTTCTAGAATAAACTAAATAACAACAAAATTAGTCACATGAATAGAACGAAACATATTTTACAAAAGTAAAGACCTCTATATAAATGTGAAATTTATTTTCCTGCACGTTAAGAAAAATAAATTTCACATTTATATAGAGGTCTTTACTTTTGTAAAATATGTTTCGTTCTATTCATGTGACTAATTTTGTTGTTATTTAGTTTATTCTAGAAGTTGTATTTAAATTCAGTTGCGTCCCTTTTTCTGTCTGTAAATGCAAGTCAAAGTTGCAAAATGTACGTCACTTTTTTAAATAAATTGAAAATTTGAACTTTCGCAATCTTTCTTACTTTTTATGATTTTGTAAAAACAAAATACACTGAAAAGTACCCCCGAAGTTTTCTCTATATTTTTATTTAAAAATCTCGAAAAAATACCTTTTGAAAATTTTTCATTACCTTTTTTGTGCTAGAAACTTCATCATTGAGTTCAGAATAGCTCCCAATCACATTATTATGAACACTTAGCCAAAATAAATGGGAAAATTCAACTTCGTTTCAAATCACTTTGATTATTCATGCGAAAAAAAATTAATTAGTAATTCTTTTATCACTAGATATATCATTTTTTACTTCATAATTGGTAAGATCGATGCGTTTATATCTTTTATTCTGAACGCTATGTTAAAATGACTATAATATCTGATCACTTTTCACGCTAACTTGACATTAGATTGAAAAATTTCTGCAGAAGAATTTATAGAAAATACAATTTTGAATAATCTGACACGAAATTGTGTCATTAGAACAAACTATAAAAAAATTGTACAAGATACATGAGATTGTGCTTATTCATCAGTCCCTTTTTCTTAAGATATTTTCCGCTTATCACAAACAATTTTTCGAAATCGATAAATATTTTTATTGCATAAAGTTCGATAAGTTTTCAGATACATTGCACATCTTTAAAACTATGAGCAAGAGTAAACGATAGACAAAATAAGAAGATCAGGAGACAAATATCCAAATAAAAATGAATTACAAAATAAAACACCGATATAAATGTTAGAAGAGTTGATATTTAAGTCGATGGAAAAAAAAGTTTAACATTAACGTATTTTTTGTTTTTTTCGACAATGTGAAGCTATTGTCTGAATCTGAATAATGATTTGAATAGCTAATGTTATTTTTAAATTTAATTCATTCTATTGTAAAATTTAATAGACGAACGAGAGTGAAAGAGTTTCTAAAAAATCCGATACGGTAACTTTCAGATATTAAACGAGTTTGTTGGAGCTATTTGTCAACAATAAGATTTTAAAGAATACAAAATTGTGAACAAAATAAGAGCTGACTAAATTTCCGACGGTTTTCCAATAAAAAAGTAAAAGTATCAGAAAACTCGTAAAAAGCACCAAAATTTATCAAAATTCCATTTGAGAACATCTTTTGTCATATTCTTTTTAGAAATCCTTTCATCCTAGTTCATTTGTGAAGTTTTACAATAGAAAAAAAATTAAATAAAAAGAAACATTAGCTCTTTAAATCACTATTTAACTTTGAGGCATGGTTTAACATTGTCGAAAAAAAAAAAAATTTTTAAAATAGCCTTTTGTTAATTTAATAAAGCACGTGGACGTCCAATATTCTCCTTCACTAAATGTAAAGCATGTGGTGATAAAAAGGACTTAAAGAAATATTGAAACGTGCACTAACTTTCCTATAAGACCATTTTTCGATTTGTATTAGTTTAACAATATTTTTGAGATCTTCTTCACTGTTCGCTGCTAAGTTCGAACCATTGAAAATAATCACTATCAATGACAAAAAAAAAAGATTTATTTCAGATTACTATCAGTATATAAGCTTTTATCTATCATGTATACCATTGAAAACTTTTAAAATATACTATTATACAAACAAAGGACAACTAACTTTTTGCAATGGATTCTGTCATCATTTTTTGAAAAATTATTTTCGATAAGTTAAAAATATCTTAGCAAAAACGGACTAATGAATAAGCGGAATCTCATATATTTTGTACAATTTTTTCATTGTTTGTTCTAATTAATGACACAATTTTGTTTCAGATTATTCAAAATTGAATTTTCTTTAAATTTTTCTGCAGAAATTTTTTCAATCTAATGTCAAGTTAGCGTGAAAAGTAATCAGACTTTATTTTTCGAAATTTTTCGATAAATAATATTGAGAACAATGTAGGATACTTTTTAGTGTTTTTTGTTTTCGTAAAATCATAAAAAATAAATAAGTTATGAAAGTTCAAAGTTTAATTTTTGAAACAGTGTTCACAATAGCCCCCATCTACTCGATTATTTATGCAAAATTAATATCAATAGTAGAAAAAAATCCTTTTCATTCGACTTTTCAATTCAAACAAATGAATGGCCTGATTGAAATATTGATTTACTATAGTTAGCCGATCTACTTGACATTGACATCAAGAAGACGAATCTATCTAATAATAGCTACACTATGTAGACAAAGAAAAGTTTTCCTTAGCAGAATAGCGCAAGCATAGTCACCTGACACTTTAATAAAGCGAACAGGACGGTTATTGTTTTGCCAATCTATTGCATATATATATATATAGATAGATATATACTTTCGTCAACAATCAAGTGATCTGAAAAAAATAAATTACGATGGATTATCTTACAACATTGCCTGTGGAATTAATTCACAAAATTCTGGACGATGTTCCAACAGTTGATATTCTCTTATCCGTATTCTTGGTCAACAAACGACTTCGTTCTGTTTCTATGGTTTATCCTCGATTTCAACTAAACTTTGCATGTTCGGTCACATCGATTAACAAGAATCAATTTGATTGTATTTGTAGTCAATTGCTTAATTTAACTTCTCAAATTGTATCATTAACACTTTTTGATAAAGATGATCCAATGACACCAATAAAAAATAATCTTTTTCTTTCACGATTCAGCAACATTAATATAATGTTTTCAAATATTCGTTCATTAACTTTGACATATATTGATTTTGATACATTATATTCATTTAAAACTCGACTTTCATTATCCATCGTAACATTATCTATTCATTTGGTACATAATCAGAAATTTCTGGATTTATTAGGAACATCTTGTGTTCTATATGAAGTAATCTTCTTTTCACCATCACTTAAACAACTTTCGCTTAAAATGAGTAACTATTCAAATGATTTGGTTACAATTTATCATCAAACTCCAACAATTTTATCATCTATTCAATATTTACACATAGAAGGTATTACAATTGATTTATCAAGTTTACTTATTATTGTACCTATGCTTCATACACTTGAAGTTAGTTTTCATGATTCCAACATATTATACAATACAATTCATGATCAACCATTATATTTACAACGATTACGTATTGAACTATATGCTCTTACTTGGGTGACGACGGTAATTATACTTTCATCATTTTCACGATTAGACTATTTAACAGTAATTGCTGATGATTTAAATAATGATATGGCTAATGGTAGTGCTTGGGCAGAATTATTACAAGAAGTCAAACATTTCGAATGTAAACTTCATTTCTATTGGCGTGCTTTTACCAGTACACCAATTAATCTCGATTCATTTCGTACGAAATTCTGGCTTGAAGAAAAAAAATGGTTTATTTCTTACGGTCAATATTTAGATACGGCTTCTTCAATACTTTATACGAATTCTTTTTCTTCAATTGATTATCCATCAAATGAAATGATTGGAATTTTATTATCAGAATCAACCATATTAGAATCAATATCATTGTCTCATGCTCAATGTTTTACGCTTAATTATCAATATATAAAATCTGCATTCTTACATCGATATATTCAACTTAAACAATTAAATGAACTACTAGTTGATATTATGCCTCCAATGGCTTTTAAAAATATTAATTTGTATCTTGACGCATCTCGAATTGTTAAATATTATTCTATTACTGAATGTAGCGCAGAATCACCTTCTGATGTTATAAAATTTCTACAAAATTTACCTAATTTACGTGCACTTAGTGTATCTGGTCCTGTACTCAATTATCTTGTCTTTCATCCATGGCCTAATATTGTTTATTTAAGAATTGAAAATGATTTTGATAATAGTCTTGGTATATTATGTTCGGATATGATTGATGCAATATGTTCTTCGTTTACTCATCTTGAAATACTTGATTTTCATTTGACATGTGCCGATGATCTACGACCAATTTTTAATAGAATAATTAACACGACTATAATTCATATACTTATTCGACAACCATTTGGTATTATTCACAATAAACGATTTGTTTCATGTGAATGGATCAAACGTAATACAGAACTGAAAAATTTTTATTATGAATGTGATGTAGAAAATTCTGTTAGTTTATGGCTTTAAAACTTATATTAAATCAACATATCAGATTGTTTTTTTTTTTCTCTTTTTTATTGTATCTTTTATGTTCATTATATGATAAAGTGAGATTTTTACCTAAACAACTTACTAAATCACATGTGATATTATTATTTGATTTTCAACAACAATTACTTCTAGAAATCTTTGCATTATGATAAACAAGCAACTGAAACTTGTTAGAAGTAGAGAACATAATTTACACTTGAGTATTTCACTACTTGAAGGAGGTATATCCAAGCAATATTGATTACGATTCATTGAATGATATTTATAATATTAGAGCCCTGCTTTTTGTTTTGAATCAATGTAAAATACGAAGTAATAACTTTATAATTTTTTATTTGTTGTGTCTTATTTATCGAGAATATAGTTGAGATCAGCAGGGCGTTGTAAAAGTTCGTTCGAAAAGTTGATGCAAATAACTCTTTAACATATACCAAGGAAAACTTAATTTATATGTGCACACTTTGTTTTGAAAAAGAAAGCATATTTGTGTTCGATATCTGATCATTATGAATAAGTTTGGCAGCAGGATTTCATGTGGAATTTTATCTGAACAAGTGGCAAGCGAGTGAAGTAGGGAAATGTATACTATCTCCAGCTAAAGTGGCTGTCGTGTTCGCTTTGCAGGTACTACACATAAAGCGAACAAAGAGTATATTTTTATTGATTTAATAAAAAATCGCGTTTAGTATTGATTAAATTGAAGCGCTGTAATATGATATAGTTGAAGACAATGAATCGAATGATGTCAATTGAAGAAGAAATTCATTGCAACCTCAAGGCAGAAATGAATAAATGATTTCCTTTTTCACTATTTTTCTTGTTCTGCACTGGTGAGTTCGCTATAGGTGTATATATATATATATAAAACAAACATTTATAAATATCGATTTTCCACTGCTTATTTCTCAGCTATTGTGACAATTAGAAATTATTCTTTTAAATGAGGAGATGCCAAATTTTATGGTCCTTCCGTGATACAAAAATAAAATTTCTACGATTTAAAATGGCAGAAATGTGAGACTCACAATGTCCATCTATATAAACTGCGGTCGCTTTAAGTGCATTGACTTTACCTACGGTCGAAACCAAAAGATGCACCAGTCAATCGACTCATTGCTCCGAAACACTAATACGACTTGTGGTCGGATAGATTTCGTGAGAAAAAGGCGTTCTATACATCTACGGATGATATAGAGCATATGATCGCAGTAAAAATGGCTAACATTATTCAATTTTTATATTGTGACATAGTTTTATTTATAATTTCTTTCTTAAAAAGTTGATGCTCTCTTGCATCATTTGCAGATGGGGATGATTTGCAGGTAGTTGAACACTGAAAAATCTTTAAAGCTCGTTCACAACATAAAAGTGCTCTTGAGTATTCACCCATTTTGTTGTATATTCGACCGATGTTATTGTAGGAATAAGTAAAGGGTGTGGGTGTGGGTGTGGGTGTAGAGTATGGGTGCGAACAAAACGGACACTTGCACCGCCACGCCCATATTGCACACGCACACTGACACCTACACCCACACCCAAATCGCATGAAATTTTCAATTAAACAAGAGTCAACAATAGTTCAATCGGTAATCCAAAATAATTCTCTGTGAGCATTCATTCTATATACTGAATTTTTGTTCGTTTGAAAGAGCATGTCAGAATGCAGAGCATGATAGAACTCGTTTCTGCAATTTTCATTTTCGTTGAGCGAAGAAAATGGATAACAAGTTCAAAGAAAGTAAACGTTTGCAGAAACGAGTTCTATCATGCTCTTCGTCCTGACATGCTTTCTCAAGCAAAAGAAAATTCAGTACATAGAATGAAGGCTCACCGAGAATTTTGGGTCACCAAATGATTCATTGTCTTTCCATTACAATTTCAACAAATCTTGAAAATTTTATGCGCTTTGCATGTATCTGAACCAAAATCCGTTTTGGGGAAGGATAGACGTGGCCTTAAGTGTTTGGATACATTTTAGAGTATTTGTAACCAAAAAGATGAGTGTATTAAACAAGATGAATTCCTTGGAGTATCTTGTTCTTTTAAACTCGTTATTTAATAATGACTTTAAAATACAGCGAGACAACTCATTGCCGAGATTAATATTATTGCCAGTGATAACATTTAAAAAAACCATGTGTTTCATCTTACTGCTGTACGTGAATAAGTAGCAGGAATATTTTAGCCGATTATATTAGATTAAGGTTTAGTCACAGTAAGGGATTTGAAGGTTGCACTAGTATTATCCACAAAAATGCCCCAAGAACTTTTATGTGCTCGATAGATACGGGCACTCAACGCAACTCGATGATTAAGATAAGTCACCACCATGGAATTCTCTATAATGATATGAATGATGATATCAGTGTTTGATACAAATGTGAACGGTACGTCGGATGAAGCCATTGTGGTATTGGTCAATGATGAACGCTTAATTTTATCGAAACTGAACCGATTTTGGGCAGGTACAAAGCGTATACTATAAAAATTTTCATAACCATCACATACTGCAAACATAAATCCAAAATCTTTTGTAGAACGATCATATGATACCGTAGCGCTGATCTTATAACGATTCAAATAGATAGGATTGAACAAAACATTAGCAATGTCAGTGTTGAATGAGCTGGAGAGATGATACGAAGAGGTGTCCGATCTTGAAATGGTTACATTACCCCAGTGACTATGTTTCACGATAGGTTCGTTGTATTTCCCTAGATAGGATTCAAGTGTATGCGGGATCGTAACAGCGAGATCTTTAGTTGAATCTATTTGATACAACTTATGCACGACAAGATTACCACCCCATAGCCAGGATCCAGTATCACTGTTGTCTTTTAGTCGATTGGTCCAACCGAAAATGTAATGATCGCCATGATTGTCTACAATTACCTTAGCACCATAAAAGCCGTTCCCATCAAAGCGAATCATATCTTCTATCGGACTAGTCCATGGTCCAGAGAGCGAAAAACTCTTACGATAATATACGTTTTTCGAGTCGATATCGGAAAATAGAAGGTAGTAGATATCGTTTATTTTGAATAAATCAGGTGTTTCCATCATGAAAAAGTTGGTCAAATCGCCATCATACATCACTCCTTTGTAGGACCAATTGAACAAGTCAGAAGAAGTATATTGAACGATAACACCTCTTGAAGTTCGAGCCGAAACTATCAAATTATACTGCTTTGAAAGGTCGTCATAGAAAACGAATGGATCTCGAAAGTTATCATATTCATCGAAGCCATGGTCAAGTGGTGCGTAGAGAGTATTAAACGTAGAATTTTTTGTAAATTTAACCGTCAAACTAGGTGAAGTAGCTAGCATGATACCTTCTCTTTTTTTCACGCACCACGATGGATGATTCGGATTATGCCCTGTATAAAACGCGTAGTAAATACTTCCCCGTTTAATGACACTACCCGTGCCCAACGCATAATCCTGTGTACATGGTTCATCATTAGAACTGAGCAGTTCATCCGGAGCAACAGTTGAATACGAATAGAAGTTGTTGGTTTTAAATCCATACCATGGGTGTCGCTGATGGGTAATATCGTTCCAAATATCATTCAAATATAGAATGTACGTTTCATGCGATTCAATATCAAAATATGGCATGACATCACCAATGGCTGTACTATTAGTCGAAGACACAGGATATATTACATAATCGCTATCTTCATGTTTGGCAGAGCAAATCAGACTAGAACTTTTCTCATTTGTATGAATTGAACCTAAAAATAAATTTTCTATACGATAAAGCTTTTAGTGATAGAATTCTAAGGCTTAATGAAAGATAACGCAACGCTTTTCTTGAAAACGTTCAAAACTATTCAACACATGAATATGTTCTATGTAATACATCTCCTATTTTAAACCATTGGTTTTTAAAGACTTCAGAAAAAAATATATCTAAATTTCAACGAAAATCTTCGGTAAGTTTGGTAGATTAGAATTTGAGAGAAGTGTGAAAAATACGGATCGCGTCTGTAGAAAATTTTGGAATGATCTCAGAAGTTGTTCATAAAAATTTTCTAGAAACTCATTTGTCTTTTCATAGTCCCTTCTCAATAGTTGTTGAACTTTTACCGGTGACATTTGCCATTTTATTTGAGTTTTCTTGTTTATACTTCGACTTAAATTTATTTTTAAGGTCAAATCCAAGCATGTCTTATTAGTGGTTTCTTACCATGGCTATTGAGATGAACGAGTTGGCTATTTCTGATTTGATGTTTATGAGCCGATGATGTATCTCCTAGATCTTTTGTGAATAACGAATGACGATGTTCTTGAAAACGTTGAGCACGAAGCGCTGCTTTCCACTTAGATGAACTGGTCAAGGTCGAATATAGTATTGGGTTAACATTAGTGGCATATTCACTTTGCTCACAGTTGTGCCTAACTGTGTTCAGCTCAGTATGGTTGATAGATACCGATTTCACTGGAAGAATTACTCCGTATAAAAGTAAGATGATTTCTAGAACCATCCTTTGGCACATGTTGCTGGTATCAAAAATGCCAGAAACACTTTATAACAACATAGCAGCTGGGTATTAATTTCATATATAAGTATTCGATTTCACAAGCCAATGAAAATTGGAGATTACTACGAATGCAATTATTTCTTATATCAATATAGCAATGTTTTGATGGATATGATCAATTACCCTGCCTATATTCGGCACTAGGCATGCACCAATTCCAATTCTTAGAATTGTCGGAATTGGTTGGAATTGATCTGGAAAAATTGGTAATGGAGTGATAATCTGTCGAAATATGTGCGAAATCAGTGATTTTATAAAAATCAATTTCGACCAATTCTAATTCCAAGCCAAGAATTGGAACTAGTTAGACTTGGAATTGGTGCATCCATAATCGGAACGAAAAAAATGGATTCTATGTCGTCAAAATGAAAAACTATCTGTGAACGGTAAAGTTGAGAATTCTGAACAAACAAACTTTATCAGATGCACAAT